CCCCCAGTCCCTCTCCGCAGAGCTGCTCTTTACAACCCACCAACACGAAGGGGACTTCAAGCGAGTGCAAACGCCTTTCAAACGCGTTTAAAGTTCCCCCACACTGCCAGGACGACGCGAGGCTCCTTCGTCATGGCCAAGCGCGGCTCCCTAGACTGAAGGGCCAATCCCACCTTCCAACCCCATGACGACCCCAGGAGCACCCAGCTGATCCCCCTCTGGTCCGTACAGGGACGGTCGTTAGAGCGGTGGGAGGGTGGCAGGTGGAGCAGTGGGAGCACCCCCAGGAGCAGCCTCCCCTGCAGACAGCGGGCGGGCGGACGAGGAGGGGTCAGGGACGCGCGGCCGTGCCGTCACCTGTTTTTCACAAGCCAGTAGTCCTTCTCGCCCAGCGTGCCGTAGCCGATCACCAGCACCGCGTGGTTCACCTCCTGCGTGCACCGGGGGTCGTCGTACACACCTGGAGGAAGAGGCATTTGGAAGGACCTCACCGGCGCCGCAGGCCGCGTCTCGGCGTCGCAGTCAGCCTTCGGCACCGTCGCCGACGCCGCTGTCTTCGGTTTTGCCGTCTTGACGCCTTCGTCCAGGAAGGAAGCCCCAGCTTGCCAAATTCCACCCCCCCTCGGAAGCTTCACGTGCGGAAAGAGACAGGAGAGGTGGAGAAGTTGTCCAGGGTGGAAGGACCTACCTGACCTGTACAGAAAGAAGGTGGGCTGGGTGGCGTCGATGGCGACAGAGACCGGCCCGACGTTGGCTACGGCATCTTTCATGGCGGCTTCGTCGGCATACGGGAGCTCCACGTACTTGGAGCAAGTGGCAGCTCGCGTGGAAGCGTTGTATTGGCACGTCCCGTTCTGGGGGGAACAAGGGGGAGGTGAGAAGAGGAGCACAAGGAACCCCCAGGAACATCCTGAGACTTTCAGGCGCGTGTTTCCCATCAGCCCTCTTTTATCCTGCACTACCCTGCGCTGCGCTTCTCTCTGACCACCGTTTTTCCATGGAGCAGGGTAAAGACAGCTGGAAGGACCTGAAGAGACCCTCTCGCCCATCTCCCGTCCCCACACCAAGAGCGGCCCAACCATTCCAGCAGAATTCTCTGCCTTTTCTCTAGAAGCCTCTGATGACCACGCTTCTGCCGCTCCCCCAGAGAAGCTGTCCTCGCTTCGCCTCCTCCCCAGCAGAAGGCTCCTCCCGAAGTTCAGCTGAACTTTCTCCTAAATCCAGCCCATGGCTTCTCGTCCTCCGTCTGGACGCAGACAACAGCGTCTCTCATCTCCGTAGCTGCCTGGTGCGTGTCTGAGGGCTCGTGTTCCCCTTTTCCTGTCGGGCTGAGCTGCTGCTGTGTAGATCTGGTGCCACAGACCACGGTTTCGAGACGCCGGGTCATTCCAGGGCACCTCCTGTCTCTGGCCATCAAGACCCTCAGCATTAGGATCTTTATTTTCCCGTGGCCCTTTCCTTGCGACCTCGCAGCAGTCGCAGCGCGTCTGCCGCGGGCGGCTGCAGGAAGGGCGCTTGCACGAACGCTGCTCTGCCCGCTGAGGTGGGGGGGACAGCAACCCCCATTTCCCAGCTCCAGGAGACGACCGACGCGGGGAGCGGCCAGCGGGAGCAGGGGCTCCCGTCCCCCTCTTCCCCGCCGCGTGGTGCATTGCCTCACAACTTATGTAGGGCAGAAATACACCCGTGGGAATTCTGGCTCCCAGTCCAGCCGTTCATCTACGAGAAAAAAGGTCGCAGGTCCCTTCCCCGGGTTGGGAAGGATCAGCTGGAAAGGCTGAGGAACTGGTGTGGGACCCATAGCAACCAGGACAGAGGGGAACCGGTGGGAGAGGAGGAGGAAGGTGTCTGCACAGCAGAGCAGAGCAAATCACCGCGTTGAAGGGTTTTTCCACGTGCTGCCCGGGTCCGACGCCCACCTGAGCCATGTAGGGGTAGGAATCCTCTGAGTCGATCCCTCCGTTGTCGATGATGTACTGGAAAGCTCCGGTCATGAAACCTCCGCTGCAGCCCTTGTTCCCGTACATCGTGGAGCAGTCGACGAGGTTCTGGGTGCTGAGGGACACCAGCTTCCCCGTCTTCAGCTTCACCTGGGCTTCGAGGGCTCCCACGGCGCTGAACGCCCAGCACGACCCACAGGCCCCCTGCAACGGCCCCGGAGACGCTGGGACGCTGCCCCGCGGGGCCAAGGCGTGGGGAGAGCAGAGCGAGCTGCTCACCTGGTTCTTCACCTCCGTGACGCACCCCTGCTCCCTCCAGTCCATGGTGTCCGGGACGCTGCTGCCCGGCTGCCGGCCGGACGTCGACGGGGGAGCCGGGGGGTGGAGGGGACGTCCCTCGAACCCTCCGAGCTGCCGGAGTTAGCAGGGCTGGGGAGTCCTCAGCTTTTCATTTTTTACAGTGGATTTCTAGCCCTTCGTTGGACCCATTGGACGGTTGGACTCGATGAGCTTAGAGGTCTTTTCCAACCTTAACGACTCTGTGGTTGGACAGGGCCAAGAAAAGGCGACCACCAAGCTCAGCTCCAGCACCCGCCATCCCTGGAAGCTGGCGAGTTCCATCCAACACCACCGCGACCTCGGGGCACTGCAGAGGGGTGATGTGCAAACACCTGTAATGGGGTGATGTGCAAACACCCGTAATGAGCGGGACCCAGCCCGCGCGCCCAGAACGCAGCGTTACAGGGAGCGATTTCCTCACGCCAGGTTGCCTCACGCCGGCCGGTTGAGGACAGGAATGTCCGGGCAGCGTCTCCACCGGGGCCCCCAAGCAGAGGACGGGCTGAGAAGGGTCACTGGGAGGTTTTCCCCCACCCCGACCCCGTTCTGTTCCTTGTTCAACCAACCCCGTGGGTGACGGAGACGCAGCGCAGCCCTCGGCACCCACCATGTCTCCCAGGCGGTTCATGCCCAGCTCATAGGAGTGCAGCCCCAGCGAGCGCTCCAGGTTGTGCAGCGTCACCAGGCGCAGGTTCCTCTCCCACGTCGCGCGTCGCTCCCCTTCCTCCGCCTGAAAGCAGCCCCGTGACGCGCGGCCGCGGCCCCCACGCCCGTCCCACCGCACCGCACCCCACCGAAGGCTGCGGGGAGCCCCAGGGACCAGCCGAGCCCCGAAGAACCCTCAGCTCCTCTCCCCGCCACCTGACG